GCGGATCAGCAATGGTCTTCACTTTCTAGGGAGTCCAGATCCACCCACCTCACCGAATGATCTTTGCTGTCGGCGACCAGCAGAAACTTCCCATCCAGGCTTATGGCAACGCCAGTGGGTTCGTAGAACTGTGCATTGGTACCAATACCATCATTCAAACCCGAGACCCCATTCCCAACAAGATCATGACACGTATCTGGAATCTGCCAGTCCACATGCTTGATCGAGTGGTGGGACTTACCGCCAATATAGGCATGGCTCCCAACTAGGTCCAACCCAGCGGGAATCATCGTTGGAGACCCCGCCGGGACAGCCACGATGGAACTCACAGCTCCCGTCTGGAGGTTGATCTTTCGCATGTGATCCGTGTCGACAACAACAAGAGCGAGGGAGGGAGGGAGAGAGAGAGAGGAAAGGAGAAAAAGAGAAAGGAGATGAGGAGAGATAGAGGGGAGGGGATGAGGAAAGGAGTAGAGAGAGGTGGGAGGGGAGAGGAGGGGATGAGGAGGGGAGGGGTCCACGGGAAAGACAGGCAAGCTCAGCATCAGATGGGACAGGAGACGGAAGAAGGAAGTAGCAGAGGAGGGGTCCACGGGAAAGACAGGCAAGCTCAGCATCAGATGGGACAGGAGACGGAAGAAGGAAGTAGCAGAGGAGAGAGGGGCAGGCAGGAAGAAAAATGGATAGACTGCGTACAATTTGTTTCGAAGTTGTGTTGAGCAGATGTTTTAAATCATTGTCTGTGTATTGATAGTTGCTCACGCTTTACTTCTCTGCGCAGAACAGCAGATATCATGTCGATTCTTCAATTTCTTTGCTTCTTCCTTTTCGTTTTCTCCCTTCCCACACTTGCATTGCGGCCCTCCAGGCTTCCTGCTCCGAAAGGCTCTGCGGCACCCAAGCACTACGAGGACATCCATCCTCTGAGGTTTGTTCATATCTTCGGCAAACATACGCACTGGCACTGATCTGCCGAGACGTTCGTCGACAAGACTTGTGACTATTGTTGATAATCTTTCGTGTGAAGTTGTGATGCGTTGGTCTAGTAAACTCTTATAACTTGACCTTCATATATGCACATAACATCTATCTTACAAATCACTTATGCAATCGGGCTGTTTTGACTCTCCGTCACTTGCACGTCTTGCTCTAATTTGAGTTCTCCGATCTTCAAGCTCAGCTCCGTCTCGATCAAGTCAATCAACGGCGCTTCTCTGTTGCTCCTCCTCTTCCTCCTGTTGCTCTCCATCGCAACCTGCCGCAGTTCTGTCCTCATTTCGGCCATGCTCTCCTTGATCATGCCCCTGATCCCGCTCATCTCCTCATGAATCTTCTCCTCTACGCGCTTCATCAACTGAGCCTGCTGCTTGCAAGCCTTGGCAGCGACCTCGTGAGGCTCCATCCAGTATGCCTCGAACACGCCGCTGCCTCTCCGGTCTGAGCTGTGTGTCGTCGCTCCTAAGCTCTGATCGATCCGCTCCATATTGATCATCATTTCCTTTATCGCCGCGAGGAGGACCTCGATCTCCACCGACGACTCAAGGTGCATGATGGCGTCTGTCACCTTCCTCATGGTGAAGGTGCGCAGCTGCCCGACGATGATGGAGTGGAACTGCGGGAACCCGAGCTCCCAGTCGTCGTTGCAGAGCTTCCTCCCCTTGGTCAGCCTGTCAAAGTCGTCCTCTGTGAACTTGAGGTGGCTCGAGGGGTCGATCTTGTGCAGCCCGTCCGCCAGCTCCGAGTAGGAGATCGAGCCCGTCCTATCCACGTCAAGTAGGTCGAAGAGCTTCGCGATCTGATATTGCAAGTCGTCCGTGCTGTCGTACTGCAGGCGCTCAAGGAGAATGTCGAGCGGGAAGGCGTCGTCCGCTCGCATCTGCATCGCTGCGGCCTTTGCACACTCCTCCCGATCCTGACGCGTCGCCCCGAAGAAGTTCTCGAGGAGGACAGCGACCATGACCTGTGGGTTCGAGTGAGCCTGGCGAGGAAGGCGAGAGGAGGAGGGAGGAGGACGAGGATGGAGGACGAGGGAGGAGGGGGAGGGGGAAGGAGAAACCTGCAAAGAAGCAGAGGCAGCACAGGAAGGGAGAGGGCATGAGGTGACAAGAGGAAATGATAACGAGGGCGAGAGAGCGAGCAGGTAGCAGGAGATAGGTAGATCAAGGAAGGCAGGAGGGAGGAAAAGGCAGGAGGGAGGAAAACCTGGAGTAGGACGAGGACAACGATGCAAACGTAGCTGCACACGTAGGTGACGACGATAGGGTCCACTTGATCAGTCACTGGATCGAAGGGAGGCAATTTGTCGTCGGGCCAGCTGGAAGAAGAGGTCAGATTCTGAAGAGGAGGAGGACGAGGAGGGGGAATCGAGGCAAAGGGGGCAGGGATCGGCATAAGGAGCTTCACTCACTATCCATATGCGATGACGGCAAACATGGTGTAGTAGGCCTGAAAGAAAGTCCCTGTTGGCAGGGTGAGGAGTCGCCGTTTGCACTAACAACGGAGGGAGAGGAGGAGGAGGAGGAGGAGGAGGAGGAGGAGGAGGAGGCGGGAGGGGAGGAGAGGCAGAGGGGTTGGAGGTGGAGGACACGGCGGTGGAAGGTGGTGGAAGGCGCCGTCTCGTCTAGCGCTCACCAAACTCCTTCGGCGCCTTCTCCCCGAAGACCTCGACGCCGAGGGTGCAGTAGATGGCGATGACGATGATGCCGATGATGAAGGCCTGGGTGACGGGGATGATGCTGCTGACGATGGCATGGATGATGCTCCTTAGCTGCCGCAGCCTCCCGAAGATGCGGATCACGCGGAAAGTTCGCAGGATCCTCAGGTGCTTCACCCCCGGAAGTTCCGACAGGCCGAGCTGGATCAGTGAGACGGTTATGATGGTGAGGTCGAACCAGCACCTGTAACGAGAACATCTCAGTGAGGCGTTGGGGAGGGCGAGGGAAGGGAGAGAGCGGGGAGACAAATTTATGGAGGAGGGCAGGAGAGGGAGGAGGAGGCAGAGAGCGAGAAGGGAGAAGCGAAGAACGGGATCGAGGCTATATGGGAAGGGATTAAACCAAGCATCATGCACGAAGCGCCAGAAGAACCTTCCGAATATGTTGATTGCAAGCTCTGATGCAATTTGTCAGCACTTGAAGTTGCGACGAGGCGCAGCAGCGGGAGGGGATCCGGCCTCACCTATTGTGAAGATGATGGTGAACGCCAAGTCTACGAGCTGGAACTGGTTGTCAAGGTCAGACCCAGCCTGTGGTCTGATCTGCGTCTGTGCGATGATCAAGAAGAAGTTGGCAATGATGAGTGCCGCCATCACGCCCTGAAAGTAGATCGAATCCAACATGAGGCATGCCCTGTGCTGCCAGATGTCGATCCAATGTTTCTTGCTGTACTCCGACCTCTTTTCCTTAGCCGTGGATGCAATGATGTCCACCCAGTCGTGGACGGAGGCATTGTTGGGTAGGAAGAAGAAGAAAGCTCTCCCCGAGTTGTATCCATCCGGTATCGTCTCGATCTCCATGACCTCTCCATTGTCGCGCTGCAAGTAGCGGGTCGCAGCGACTCTGGAGTATCCAGGGAGAATGACCTCCTCTACCTCTTCTGCCTCCTTGAGACACTCGAGCCCTTCGTGATTTGAGTTATGACGCGAGGAACTCACACCCGCGTTCACTGACTTGATCTTCAAGCCGGTTGCGAAGGGGCTCCATCGCCTGTCCTGATTCTTGTGCTTCAGGAAAGGGTTCTGAAGAACGCGGTTGACTGTGACGATCTCTTCCGTCGGGATGCTATCCACGATCTCGACCTGTTCGTTTGCTAAAAGATAGTTGCCGTGCTCCTTCAAGACCTTTGTCCATCGCTTCATGTCTTGATGGCTCTCGCAATTGAAGTAAACGATCGGTCGATTGTACGCATCGTTGATCTTGATCGCAAATGGAAACCCTTCCACCGCATCGTCTTCATCAGAGAGCCGACAGCCCAGCACGTTGAGCCTGAAGAAAGGCTTTTTTAGTCGTCGAAAGTCATCCTCAGTCTCATAGCACTCAAAATTCCCTGAACGCAGCACAGAGTAGCAGTTCTGCCACTTGTCTGCGCTCGGCTGGACATTTACAGCCATGTTTCCGTATGCATGGGGGAACCAAGATTTCGAGAGGGCGATGTAGAGCCTGTCTTGCGTCAAGATCAACCTTCTCCGCACCCAGTCTCCATGACAGTCGAGTTTGTCGGCGGTGTCGTCACGAATTCGCGACTCCTGGGGCACTGCGCTGGCCATCATTTCATCTTCACAGAAGAACTTGAAGCTCGAGAACGATCCTGATTTCATCAAGTTCCTTGCCCTTCTGATCCCATCCTTGTTGCCGTTTGCAGCTGCTGGCTTTGATCCAGAGCCTGTCCTGTTCAAGTGAACTGCTGCACCTGCAGCAAACATCGTTGCAATCTCTGTTTGCAATCTCTGTTTGCAATCTCTGTTTGCAATCTCTCGCTCAAGCGAGGAGCTCCAGTCAATCACGAGTGAGACCTCTCTTCATGTCAGCAAAGCTGTGAATGTCGGCGATCTACGAGCTGATTGCACCCGCAACACCTCAAATGTTACGAGAAGTTCAAGGTAGAATCAAGTCCAGCCATAGAGTTTGGTAATCACTGCCATGAACAGAACGAAGTGGACTGGAGTGAGTGATGGCCAATGGCAGCGTGAGGGAGGAGGAGGAGGAGGAGGAGGAGGAGCAGTTGGGGAGGGGGAGTGGGGGAGGGAGGGTGGTCGGTCGAGGGTAGGGATTGTCCGGGGGAGAGAGGATTCGGTGCTGCTCGGGGCAAGTAAATCTTCTGAGGGGGTAGGGTGAATCACCCCACCAGTAAGAGGAAAAGTTGATTTTTTCTTGCGGGAGATCTATCTCAAGACTTCCATTTTCTCGATAAACGTAATAAGTAAAATGGAGATAGATTATGCCTTACAGTCTTCACACAGGCCTTTGATGGTAGTCGGGGGGTAGTCCTATCCCTCTATAAGTTGCTAGTAGTTCTCCATGCCACCAAGGGTGCAGAGGATATCTTTCAACTCCGAAGTAGGGGTGGTCATTATAGACCCCACCCCTACCTTTCCACTGTGAAAAGGTGGGAGAGATAGGGGAGGTCCACTGTGGGTGGGGTTTCGTGACTTTCGGAAGTCATATCAAGGAGAAGAAAAAAAAAAAGAGGCGGGGAGTAAAGTATGGTTGGAACCGACGTGCGCCAAGGTGGTTGTGAGCTCGACATCAGAGCAGAGGGCAAGAGATCATGGTGCTTGTATTCATATGGACCCGGGCCTGACTGAATCAATACACGACACAGAGTACAGTGATGTGATTTCAGGTGTTCAAGACCACTGGAAGTTGTAAAGGTCGCAGGATGCTTCTTTGGCTAAGAAGTGGACATTACCAGACCAGGACTCACGGACTGTAGCCGGGGAAAGATCGTGAAAAGATGATCGGAATGGAATGATTGACAGTCTGGTGTCAGTGCGAGATAAACGCTGTGCCGAGCAAGAATCCACCCACAGGTGGATGGAATGCTCGCCAGGCTTTCAAGGAGCCCATAGTTCAGATGTAGCACTGCTGGACCATGAGACTGTTTCCGGAAATCACCACGACAAACCTTCACATGTATGGAACAGACAGTAATGTGAAAATGATGTCATCACCAAGCACTGCTCATTAAAAACATTTTGCTTCCTTTACCATAATTGCACCATGATTTGTGGTTTTAACTACTTAAGTTTGGAAGCATAAAGAAAGAGCTACAGTTTAAAAATGTGGAAGAATTGCTCTACCTCTCTATCCCTTGAATACTCTATAATTTAGTTAGCGAACCAGGAGGCATATTCCTCAGGAGTGATGATATCGGGGTTGCCGTGCCTGAAACAAAGATGTCAAACATCCACTAGCAAACGATTCGAGCAGGTCTTGCTTACTGAAAAGGGGTGGTCTCCGGCTCGCAGTTGGCGACCTCCATGTCTGGCTCAGCATAGACGTTGTAGTCCCATGCAGGATACTCGTAAAGGCCGAGAAAGCGAGCTGTACATTAAGTCAGTCAGGGGTAGTACAACCAGGAAGCGTCAATGTAAATCCGCGTGACGAATGAAAACAAACAGCGATAGTATTCATCATTCCCCTTCGTAGAGGAGGAGCTGCTACGTCGATATTGGAAAATCTCATGAAACTTTGTGATGCTGGGAGAGGAAACGACCGAACGCTAGCAGTCTTGTGAAACGGACATTGAAGCAACCCAACACAAGCATATCGTTTGTAAGAGACGCCATTCAAAACACGCACAAGACACAACGATTGGGTGTAAAGTCGAAGTCCAAGCGCCAGGGTGACTCGCGTGAACATCATCACATAGCAGGTGACAGCGTTGATGACAGAGGAAGCAAGCTTGAGATCATTCAGCAACAAACTCAAATATACAGCATGAATCAAATAAATGTGTTCCTTTCCATGATGACAAACTGTCAATAGGGAAAATGCGAGAATCACATTCTGAGAGCATGTATCGTGACAATTGCTGGAGACAAAGCTGGTCCAAAAAAAAGCGACATAGCAGCGGGCGAAAGAATATCACATTGAAGGCAATAGTGAAGACTAAATGAGACAAGGCTGAAATTCATGTTCGGAGATCAGGGAAGCGAAAACAATGGACTTGGGATGAAGCGAGGGCTACGGGAAGAGGGAGTGGAAGGGTTGGAGTGCGGCGATAGAAAGGAATCTTGGCTGCCCACTGTGCATACCGGGGATGAGCTTGGTGAGCATGCTTTGCGAAGAGTCAAGGCGAAGGGGTTTTCAAAAACTACTTGTATGATTGATAAAATAGAATGTACGGATGCTTTTGAAAAATATTATTAAACACTACCAGATAGTGATTGATATAGTAAAATTTGTATGAAATATAATATAGTTAATTATTTTAAAACCCAGTTCCAGAAGTCCGCTGTCGGGTTCGAGTGCCCGGGCCCGATGACCCGGGCCCCAAAAAAAAATGCGTAAAAGTAAAATAAAAAGAAACAATCATTGCTCTGAGGGGAACCTGCAACCCGGTGGTATGCCCCCTACCACTGATACCCCCTTGCTGGGTCTAGGATCATAGGAAGGAGCTGCACCCACCCCTAGTTTCCCCAACATTCCCTAGCAGGGGTACCTGTGTGAGGAGATGGAGTAAAGCAAAGTTGGAAGGCGCATAGGGGTAGGGTAGGTAGGGTGGTTGTGGGTCGAAATGGACTCAAAGTAGGGGGTACTTAATGTCGAGGAGTGGGGTGTAAAATGGTATGGAGGGGTGGGAGGGTGGACGAAAAGGCTCATCGCTCAGTATATGCGATGTACGCGAGTAGGGGAAATTCGGGTATGGATCGAGCGGAGGGCGAATAGATGGGAGAGAGAAGGAAAGATTCATTGAAGACGAAACATACAAGCTGAAGAAGAGAAGAAAACAGGAAGGCCAGTTATGAGAGATACAACAATGATTGGAGGTTTAATGATGCTGAAGAATCAAAACGAATTTCAGAAAGAAAATGTCCAACAACCATAGCGCTCAGCCATTCCGTCACAATTGATCAACCAGAAGATAACTTGAATTTGACTCTGATTCTCAACACCCACGCATGCCCTCCCGGCTCCTCCTCCCCCTCCTCCTCCATCTCCTCCTGCTGTCTCGCAACCCCCTCCATGCTGTGGTCTCCCCACCTCCTGCCGTGGTGTGTCCTTCCCCGCTGGTGCAGGTGAACGGGACCTGCTTCTGCAAGGACGACTCCAAGAGGGGAGAGATCTTCCAGTCCGGACGGCTGCTGGCGAGCCCCAGGAGCAGCTCCACCTGCATCATCAGCAGCGGCGCTGTCAAGTGCTGGGGAGACAACAGCTACTATCAGTTCGGGTACCAGGGGAAGCGAGCGGTGGGGACGGGGGCAGGAGACATGAGCTCGCTCCCGGCGCTCAACGTGCCAGGCAGCGCGGTGAAGGCGGTAGCAGGGGAGGGCTTCTTGTGTGTCCTCAACGACGCTGGGGAGATGTACTGCTCGGGCTCGAACGCGCTGGGGCAGGCGGGAGCAGGCAACGTCAACTGGACGGCGAGCATGACGAGGGTGAGCCTGGGGAGCGGGAGGAAGGCGACGGATGTGACAGCAGGGGCATGGCATGCATGCGCGGTGCTGGACAACGGGCAGGTGAAGTGCTGGGGCTTACACACGCAGGAGTATCCCTGCTGCGGGGTAGGATCGTATCCCCCGAGCAACTGGACGGAGGCGATGAGGAGGATGGGAGACAGCCTTCCGTACGTGCCCCTGCAAGAGCAGGTGCAGTCGATAGCAGCTGGAGACCTGCACACGTGCGCGCTGCTGGTAGGAGGAGACGTGCAGTGCTGGGGCGACAACTCGGTAGGACAGCTGGGAAGCAACGTGGCATCGCCGATGGGGTACGACGTGGAGGCCTCGTACGTGGGGATGCCGGGGGTGCGGTACGGAGTGAGGTAGAGGAGGAGAGGGAGGAGGGAGGAGGAGGTGACGCGAGCTTGGGAGCAGGATCTGGGCAGGAGGCTTCTCGACGTGCGTGGAGCTGGACACGTCGGAGGTGTTTTGCTTCGGGCTGAACAGGGACGGGCTGCTGGGGTATCAAGACACGACGAACCGGTGGCTGGCAGCGACGCCGGCGCCAGAGTACATGGAAGGGATCCAAGACATAGCGATCGGAGGACGGTACTTCGCGTGCTTCCAGCTGGTGGACATGACGGTGAAGTGCATAGGAAACAACGGGAAGGGTGAGGGAGGGGAGGAGGCGGAGGGAGGAGGTGACGGGGGTGTTGGTGAGCAGGTCAGCTGGGGACGGGGAAGGCAGGGAGCTCGGGGACGAGCTTCCTGAGCAACCAGACGGCCGTGCTGGGAGGGATGAGAGTGATGAAGGTCGTAGCCGGGTACGAGCATGCGTGCGCTCTGCTGATGAACGAGAGCGTCGTGTGCTGGGGGAGCAACACGTACGGGGAGCTGGGGATAGAGCAGGCAGTGGCTAGCCATGCTCCGAGCATGGCGCTTGTAGGGGACAAGCCGGACCTGTACCAGTACGTGACGTGCACGACGAGCGAGTACTGCCTTCTTCCGAAGTGAGCGGGAGGAGGGGGAGGGAGGGAGGGGGAGCTGGGGGAGAAGAGGAGGAGGGGGAAGGAGGGTCTGATGTGCGGGTGTGTCAGGCTTGGGAACGGCACGTACTCGGTGAGCGGAGACTCGGTACTGGCGGGAACGACCGTGATGGCAAGGGAGGAGGGGGAGGCGAGGAGACGGAGAGGCTGGACGGGGGGAGAGCAGGCGAGCTGTCTGTGGAACTT